GTAAGTCAATGAGGGTAAGGAATATAAGTCACACATCATTTAATCAGAGCCACATGCTTTAAGCTGCTGCATTTTATACTACTTACCTGCAACAGGAAGGCTTTTTAGTTTCTTTCTGAACCTCGACACGAGGGAGTGATTCATCCTGATGTCCGTCTGATGTGTGTCGGCATTTTCACTCCTGAACTTTACTGTCAGATGCTTGGGTTCATTCTGTTGAAGGATATTAGATACAGCAGAAGTTAGAGCAGGAGAGTCAAACATAATGCTCGGGGGCCACACTTGACCCGGTAAAGATGCCAATCCAGCCAATTAGATGGCTTTGGAAAATTAGTAGAAAAGCATAGACATTAAGAAGCTTTTAAGAAGTTTTTTCTCCTGATAAAAATCTTCCCTGTGGCCATTCATACTGAGCCAGAAATAGTTTATTAATAGATAACAGTTGTGTGTAAAGTGCTGTTGATATTGCGCTTCTTTTTTCTTATAATAACATATCTCAGGTTTGCATTGTGTAGTTAAACTTCTTTACACTGACAGAAGGGGGAGATTCACTGGTCTGGTCTACTTAAAATTAAAGTTTGCTGTATGTGGCCCAGGATGTAAAGTGAGTTTGACATTCCAGAATTTGAGGATAACCAGAAAGGCACCAACAAAGATTCAGATGGTAGGGTCAGAGTTTGGCATAAACAACATGAAAGCACGGATCCATCCTGCCGTATATCCACAGTTAAAGCTGCTGCTGGTGTACAGTGGACCATTCCTGATGACTGCTTCCAGCAGGATAACTCACTATGTTAGCTCAAATCCTCTCAAAATGTTTTCTTTAACATTAAAATGAGTTCAGTGTACTCAAATGACCTCCACATTCACCAGATGTCAATCCAACACATCAGGTTTAGGATGTGGTGGAACAGCAGAGTCATGGATGTGCGGCAGACACATCTGCAACAGCTGTGTGACGCTGTCGTGTCTGCCTCCTCTCGTTTGTTCTGTTTTCTCTCTTCCTGCAATAACGTCACTGTACTGTGTTATGTGGCATCCTTAAATAAAGCTCGTTAAAGTAAAGTTGAGCTGGTAATAATAAAGCAACATTATAATTACGATACTTTTACGGTTTGTAGTAGCTACAGGTTTCTTTGGTAATGTGCTATCATTACAAATGTGCTATAAGTAAAATAACCTTGAAACGTCTGATTTTCGAAATCGATTTGAATGCAAATTTAAATTGTAAACCCTTTAAATTTGAATGAATTCGTCCACAGTAACAGTCTGTGTCTCGAGTGTTATTGAACCATGCTGCCGCCTCTTAGCCGTGCTTACCCGCCTTCAGGGGCGATAAAACAGACCATTCAAGCAACAGTAAAACAATCACAGCTTCAGTATAAAGTACCAAACGCACTGACGCTATAACCCGTAAGTCCAGACAGCAATAATGATGATGTTTTCTAACGGTGAGTAGTAAAAAGGGAGGGTAAACAGGAGAGTACTCACCGTGCAGCCTATCTGATTTACCGACATCAGCAAACTTTCACTTTCGATGC